ACCAAGGTGAACGATTTGCAGGTTTCCTTCGAAGTTGCAGATGCTTTAAATCAACCATTTCCTGATGCACAATTTCCTGTCTCTATTCTTTCCTTTCAAGATCTTTTGATAAACTTGAAGATAAGTTCATTACAATGCATGCAGACTCCCTGATTTGAGTTTCATTGCAGTATACAAAATCTATTACATTGGATATGTCTCGTGTGTATATTTTGCTTTTGGGGTTTTATAAATTTGATTTCCAATTTTCATTCTCTGTTGACTATTTCTTTTTCCTTTTCATGTGAGCTTTCTGATTCATAATAATGTGGCATTTCTCTTGCTATATTTTTTTAGTTTTAGTTCTTTGTTGAATTCAACTCAAAGCTATTGGAATCTAACAATTACATCACCAGAAGACAAGCTGTCAAGGTATGGGAGCTGTTTGAGACTTTTATTTGTTTCTTTACGCAAAACTAATTACAAATAAAGTTGTGATTGTAGTAATCTCATATTTTATGGTTTTTCCATATATTTTCTTTATGAGAGAACTTTATAGTTTATACCATGATTGTTAAAATTGAGATCCTACATGGGAATATTCCTACCTATCCTACTTGTGATTATGCTATAATATTGATTTTACTCCGATGTGGGTGAGTTTGAAGTAATTCAACATCTGCTTGATGTCACAGAGGCTACCGTAAATTCTGTATCTGAGAAGAGTTCACCCATGAGAATGGCATTCAGATTTGCTCGGCTATTATTCTGAACCTATTTTGTGTATGTTATATGATTATATCACATCACTTGTTATTCAACTGCATGATGCTAGAACAACAACCTATTTTGTGTATATTCTAAATGAACACGTGTTGATTGGCTTATCAGATATAAATTTAAAGTCAGTTTCGTTTTCTATGTTCTACCTTTCTAGAGCAGAGAGGTAGTCTTGTGGAGTAACTTCTTTTTGCCTTCCTCTTTCCTCTACATAGACTGATAATTAGGACATAGGTTGTAAAGGGGATTTCTACTTATTTGTGTTTTCTTTTTGCGTCAATTCTTTATTGGCCTGGTACCCTTTGCAAATTACAAATTATAAGATGCAAAGATTCTTTATTGGTCGGATTCAATGTGTGTAGAGGTAGTTAATTGTGTTAGATGCGTCTTTTCAGCTGAACCTTTTTAATTAGCTCATCGCTGAGGTCTTGAAAGGATATAACTCATTGATTAATTGTATGCATTGTTGTTTGTCCTTATATAACATGAACATATATAATTTTATTTTACCATTCTCTTTTCTTATTTTGGCCTTTTTCATATCAAAGCTATCCCAGTTATAGATTGTGTTCAAATTTTTTCGAACTTCATAGATGTTGTTAAAAGTTTTATATCTCAAAATTCAGCAGGTTGACCTAACAGAATCTTGTGGAAAAGCATGAATTTGTTTTTGATGTAGTGCTGAATGAAGAGGTCTCAAATGATGTGGTGAGTACGCTACACAAGCAAAAATAAGAAACTAAAATGAAAATACAAGCTACTTATGGTTTTGGTGTGATGGAAATAATTTATTAGGCCATTTGGCATTAGTTAATCTTGGTTTTCTTATCTTTCCATAGGTTTATCACGAAACTGTGGAGCCCATTGTTCCAATAATTTTTCAGCGGACCAAAGCAACTTGTTTTGCATATGGGCAAACTGGTAAATATAGCTTTGTTCATATCTCTGATGAAATCTGTTGCAACCTTTCTAAATCAGGTAGTCAAGAGATTGTCATTCCTCAATTTTTTTGTACTAATCATTACTTACTAGCGGTTTACCTGGGCACTCTTGTTGTGGAACTTCATTCTAGCACATAAAATTGCGATTTTTTTTATGCTTGCTCATTATTGGGCTGCTTTAACTTACAATAAACTACACTAAACTGGCTAGACTCAAAACCTACATAGTAGCTTGATTAAGATGAAACCAAGTTGGGGATTACATGAATTATGATAGGAAATTTTTATTTGTAGGTATGGGAAGGTGTTCAAGTCACATTTATTTGGAAGTCCTACAATTGTGTCCACAGATGCAGAAGTGAGTAGATTTGTTTTGCAAAGATGGCAAGGCTTTTGTGCCTTCTTACCCGAAATCTCTCACTGAGTTGATGGGTAAGTCTTCTATATTGCTCATCACTGGAAGCTTGCAAAGGAGAATTCATGGCCTCATAGGGTCTTTCTTCAAATCCTCACATCTCAAAGCTCAGATCACCCAAGACATGCACAAGTATCTCTAACAATATATGGAGGATTGGAGAGATGATCACCCCATATACATCTAAGATGAAGCACAACATGTTTTCTCTCTCTCTCTCTCTCTCTCTCTCTCTCTTCCCAAAAGAAAAATGAGTGCTATTTCTCTAGTACCATCCTAATCACAATGTATCAAGTATTTGTTACAAATAGAAATAGTTGTTAATTAACTATTTGTTAGTTTCACATTATGCTTGGTTGATAATTGGCAGGAGGAGAACTTGAAACTGAAGAGACTCAAAGATGAGCTCAGAGAGCCACTGTGTTGGACTGATTATTTATCTCTTCCACTCACCGAAACCGTAAGTTCTTCATTATTATTCACCAAAAACTAACTAATAATAACAAATTATTGAAAAATAAATAAAAATTGTTTTCCCATAGAGCATTTATAGTAAATCATAGAAAAAATGTTCATTGTTAATTGAATAATTATAACAGGTGATTACAGAAACTCTGAGGATGGGAACGTAATTGTAGGAGTCACTACAAGAAAAATAGGATATTAGTAAATGATATCCATTCTTTCAATCAACTAAACTTAAATGGAAGCTATAATGATCCCGGTTGTCCCTTTACTGTTCTGTTGTATTCCGGACTCGGTTCTGTGAAGTTGGTAGTTGTATCTATCTTGTTGTCATCCTTTAATTCCGTTTGTTTGATTTATAGGATGTGTTGGGCTTATTTCGAACAGGTGGGTTGAACCTTGGTCTGAAATCTTGTTGCCAGGTTTTTGGTCATCCCGCTCGAGCGGGTCTTGTTGCGCTCGTACGGATATTGCACACTCCCATTTTTTCGTGTCCCTGCAAAACTTCTACAGGTGTGATTTTTACGCTCGAGCGGGTACTTTGGTGCTCGAGCGGGTAGTACATTTGGGTGTAAGTGCTGGGAGGGGGAAATCTACGCTCGAGCAGACTGGTTTTCGCGCTCAAGCGGATTTACTTTATTCTTGTGTCTTAGCACTCGAGCGGGCCCTTTTGCGCTCGAGCGGACCTAGTTTTTGTTCTTGACGCTCGAGCGTTGTGTTTTCCGCTCGAGCGGGAATGTCGTATATCGGTTAACAGCGGGGCATTTTAAATTCACTTTTTGCATTCTCTCTCTCTCTCTTACTTTTCCAAAAAGCCATTTGAGAGCTCCTCTCTCTAAAACCATAACTTCTCTCTAAGTATTGATCTAGCTAGGGTGTTTTCCTCACCTTTGGTCTTCACAAAAGTTGGGTTGATCGTCGAGGGCTTTACCTTGATCCGAAAATTTCGAGTTTTGGAGCACGTTGAGTTTCGTCACCTTCTTCCCTTGAGTTCCGAAGTTGAGGTAGGGATTCCTACTCACTCTTATGGTCTTTGACCTAGATTTTTAGTTGTATTGATAAAGTGTTGAAGTTGGGAAATTTTGGGACTTAGGGTTTCAAAGTGTGTTAAAAAGGGTTTTGTGAGTTTGGGCTCATAATATGTATTTTGGGTTTCAAAATGATGGTATAGTTGTTGGTTGTTGACATTGGGACCTTTGAATTGATATTGGGAGTTGGGGGTAAAAGCCCTAATCTGTTGTTTAAAATTAATTGGTGTAATTAATTTGGGAAAATTGTAGCTATATGGAATTGAGTTGGAAATAATGAAATTGACTCATTATATGGTTGAATAGTGGAGTTAGATTTATTAATCGCTCACTTTTGAAAACATTGATATTTTATCTGTTGGAGCTTTTATTATCTGTTTAGAAATAATTGCTTGGGCTGCCGGTGGAGGGTAGTTTTGATTGTTGTAGACAATGCATGATGATTAGGCAAACTAAAACTAATCAATTGGATATGTCATAGAGTATGACGGTTGATAGAATACATTAACGTTATGTATTGATTGATTGCGTATATGACCTTTGTGTATATATGTTGTGTGTGTGGGAGGAGATAGGGGATGTACTCCACGGTTTAGGGGAAGATAGGGGATGGACCTCTAAATCGAATGTTGTTTGGGAGGAGATAGGGGATGGACTCCACTGATACAGCTCATATGCTTGTCAGATAATGCGTTGATACAGTTCATATGCTTGTCATTGGAAGTGTTGATATAGCTAATATGCATATCTGTTGAAATGTGGATACAGCTTATATGCTTATCTGTTGAGAAGTTGATACAACTATTATGTTTATCTATTGAGAAATGGGAAGTGTCTAATATGAGTCATTGTCTCATATAAGTGGTTGGCCAGGTTCTGAGCCATTGATGCAAATTGTGAAATTGATAAGAAATGGAAACTGAAATGAAACATGAACATAGTGGTCATGGAATGGAAATGGGTTATGAATCGGTTTATGAAGATTGAACATTTATCAATTTCTAATGTCTTAGTCATTGCTCATACTGTGTTTAGCATATCTCTACTGGGCGTTGGCTCACCCTTTATGGGACCTTATTTTCAGGTACAGGTAGTATGCCACCTCCAAGGACATAGCTTGGATGTTGATGAGAGTTGAAGACTCTTTCTTTTGTTTATTTTGATGTACTACATGTAAATTCAAGCCAAGGGCTTAATATGTATTGAGTTAGTACTCTTCTTTTGTAACCAAGTGTTAACTTGGAAAGCTGTAAGCCCATAGGGCATTTGTTTTTGTTGTTAACATGTAATACAGTTGTAAGAATTACTCTGATGAATAGAAATGGTTGATTTCTTTTGTATCAATGCATGTGAAAAATGTTGGATATTATGTATTATTTTGAGGGCGTTACAGAAGCCCACTTGGGAGGACAAGAAAAGGGTTGCTGCAACACATTGGTAAATGATATCCATTCTTTCAATCAACTTTAAACCTTGAGAAGTGCAGTTGACAATTCAAGTGCTGACTTTTGTTCAACTTTCTGTGTCTGAAGTTGCAGGATTTGATGAGAGAAGATTTGAGAAATTTTTTTCAGAGTCCCTTTTGCTTTCTTGATCCTAAAATGGCTACAGTGCTCTTTTCCTCATTAAGGTAATGTTTTTGATAATTTTGTAGTTTGTTTTAATGCATACGGTTGATCTTGTATTCTTGTATTTCATTTTGATACAAATTGGGCATCACCTAATTTGGCCAACATTTCCTCTCTCTCCCTCTCCAAAGTTTCATATTTTCCGGTATCCCAACTAGGAATTTCTCAGATACCTCTTTTCCCATTTTTGTAGCTTGGTTTAAGAACTGTTGAGCACGTTGGACATATAAAGACTAATATATGTAATGCAAGATGGTAGTTTTGGTTAATAAGAAGTCATACCCCGCTCTTGAAAATTGAAACTAGTGAGGAATCTTAATAAATTTTACTTGCAGGTCAAGGTGTGATGTGTGTTCTTTGTATTTTGTGCTTTGTATCCCATTCAACACTGCTAGGGCCTAACGACTAAATTTTGTGCATTTTTTCTATTTGTACATTGCAATTTGTATGAGTAAGCTTGGGCTTCATTTGGCCTCACTGTCTGTAGAGAGGGGAAAATACTTTCCTTTTATGTTATGTTGCATTATGAAATGACACCGACATTGCTATTTTTATTGATATGTGATATAAGTATTGCTGCCTGAATTATGAAAAAATCCACCGAAGTAACATTTGTTTATCGATGTGATGTGGCAGGCTCGACGCATGATATTGTTATTTTAATCCATATTAGTGTGCTTTCTATTATATGCATGCTGCCAAGTCTAGTTCTAGTTTTGATGTATTCCGGAGATGGTTCTCTCTGTGGAATCTTGATTTGATGGGAGTAGTGGGCTGGCTTGCTCCTTGTCCAACCTTGATTCCTCTCTTAAGTTGGCCTAATTGTACTTGACAAAAAAAGTTGACCTCGTGGGAGGCAGGTTGTTAAGCTCCTGGCAGAGCTTTATTGTTGACTCATTGCATGATTGTATTCCAATCGATTCTCAGTTACAAAAATAGTAGTTATGTATTGCCAGTTTTGTTTTTGGTTCATTGCGATGTAGTAGGGCTGGCTGGGATCGAACTAGCCTCTCCCTACTGATAACCCAGGTCCTTGCTTTTGGCACCTTCTAGTATTGATTTTTCTCGCAAAAGGTACACTATTTGTGTGGAAATAATAATATGACATGCAACATAGAATGCGCCCTTGTGAATATAGATATTGAAATCTTTGAATATAAATGTCCAGAGTGTATCTTACTAATATTTGGGTTGATAATATTTTTGGTGGCTTCTTTGATTCATTTTGCCTTTTACAGGAGTAATGGATTGCAAGTTCCACCCTAGGCAACCATGGTTATTCACTGCGGGTGCTGATTCAGTGATCAAACTATATTGTCATTAAAAAAGAAAAGATGGTGAATTGCCCTGTCTGTGTTTCATATTATTATTGGTTGAAACACATTCTCACTTCAGCTAAAATGGATGATGGGGTCAATCAATCTCACTGGGGAGATTGGGCAGCTGAAGTGTGTTTCAGATATATGATTCAATTTTTGAAGGTGAAGATGACAAATCAATAGGCATTTCCCATATCAAAGTTTTTGACAGTTGCTTGTTTCATTTTGTTTAATTGAATTGGCTGAATTGTACTATGCCTTGACATATAATAGATTTTCTTTTAATTTTGCTTGTGTTCATATTATTACGTTGCTTTCTTTGTTGTGATAATTTGAGAAAAATCAGGTCATTACATTTTCCAACTGAGCAATGTGTTTGTGCTCTTTTTCAGCATGGAGTTGGTGGGTTAGCGGAAAAATAGCAACTGAACCACACCACCAATGGCCAATTGACTTGTCAATCGCAGACAACCCACCATTGTTTTATGTGAGATCTATCTTCATTTTAGATTGAGCGATGTTAGGTATAAAAAATAAAAATAAGAACCCTAAAATTCTGTACTGGGTATTAGATCAATCCATATTTGTGTGCTTTCTATTCCTTTTTAATTTTTTTGGGCAAATTACACTTCTTGACCATTTTGATTTTAATTGATGTATTTAAAGTCTGAATTGTTGCTATTCTTAAGTATGCAATGCATCGTTTCTTATTTTTAATTTCGTCTTCAAGCTTAGTTTATTTATAATTTTAATAAACATCAATTATTAGTTCTTAATAATTGTTTGACAGGTATTTTTTTTGTTCAACCATATAAAATTAACAAAATTAAAAAAAAGGCTATGGCGGCGTTTAAAAAACATCACTATATCCCACCCCAACGGCTAAATTTTTAAAATGTATAAATGTCTATGACGGCGTTTTCAAAAACGTCGTTAAATGTCATAGTGACGTCATAGTAAGTTAGGTAGGACATTTGGCAGCGTTCTATACTAATATAACGACGTTTTTCAAACGCCATAAAGTTATAGCGACGGCCGCGTCATCGACGTTTGGTACTAAACGTCACAAAAAGAATTAGCGATGTTTTTAGTACTTTTAGCGGCGTTTTTCAAACGTCGCTAAAAGTGGATTTTCCAGCAGTGCCTTTAGTTTTCTTTGATGTAATTTTTGGCTCATTTGGTAAAAGGTACTGATCTTTATGATATGCTTAGTAGGCAGGAAGTTTTATAAAGGATAAAGTATGGCATGCCCCAATTGTTGTGATAAGCCTTGCGTCTTACCTCAATGGATATACTATATGGTCTCTCTACAAAGCAATCCAAATATCAGGTGATCAGGTACTTTATAGCGATTCTGGTATTCCCTGTTGTTGTTTAACTGTAATCTGGACTCGATTCCGTAGATTTGCTATTGTCTTATCCTCATTTCTATCCTTTACTCTTTGTATATGAGTCTTGGGTCGTGTTGGGCATGTTTGAAACAGGTTGGTTGTGTTTGGAAACCAAGGGTTGATGTCCAGATTTTGGGCTTCACGGTCGAGCAGGGCTTTTGATGCTCGAGCGGACCTGTTTGTATATCAGTCTGAAAAATAGCTTTTTGGATCATTTTATCGAGCCAATCTTTCTCTCTAACTTTTTAAAGCTTATGCATGATTATACTAGATTCATCTCATTAAGTAAGATACATGTACATCAATTAGAAGGTGACTAATTATTGATGAATGCACCTATATATACAATGTATAGAAGACTAATGCTAATACATTGAATGTGATGGATTCATTATGAATGAATCTTAGAGATGCATTATGTATCTATTATGAATATATGAGATACATTAATCTATTTAATGGAGTTCATTGAATGAATAGCTTGAGAGCTTCTCACTCTAGACTACAACTTCTCTATAAAATACATCTAGCTCTAGTGTGTTTCTAGCCTAGTTCTTTTGTAAGAAAGGTGGAGTTTGGCGTGGCCTACGTTTTGATCCGAGAAAGTTTGGGTTTGGAGCACTTTCAAGTTCTCTTCTTTTTCTCATTTGGGTTTCTCCATTTGAGGTAGAGATTTCCTTGTTCTTTTTCAATACTTCGTCTATAGATAGACATGTGGTAGTTTTGTATTGCATGAAAATCATATCCACGTTGGATTTGTTCGAAATCATGAGAAGGAACCTAGGGTTGGTTGTTTGAAAATGGTTATTTTATCATTGATGGTTGTTTTGGGCTAATTGGAGTGTAAATTAGCATGTTATAGTTGAAAGAAGAAAAAGCCCTAAATTATATTTTGATTTGGTAAATTAAAATGGAGGGTCGTTAACCTATGTTGTAAATCTCTATTGTTAATATGAGTTAGGTGAAGGTATTAATGCCTAAGGGGTTAACTTTGGCTTTGGGATGGTTTTGAAATGAATGTAGTGGGCTAATGTGAGTTATGGCTTTATTACCACCGGAATTGGTTTTGTGGAAACAAAAGGGATGAAGTTGGTTTTGTGAAAACAAAAGGAAATGGAATTTGTTTTGTGAAATGAGAAATGTATCTCCGACATAAGTATGAAAATTAGATTGTTGTTTCTTGAGTGTTAAATACACACACGTGGGAGTTGTATCTTTAACTACCGTGTTAATGTTGTTATTGGGTTTGTGGTTTCATAGTAATTGAGTCTTTAATAGATGTACTAAATACTTGCATCTAGAGGTTTTGTCCTTGGTCATCGGTGGAGGATGACATGGTTGTGTTGAATTGTCGTGTATGCATTATACCATTGTTGGTTGAACATTGTATGTGAGGAAGTGCTGAGACACATTGTATATGTATACTTGCTCGGGGAAAATTAATTATGTGTTCGTATACTTTAACACATTGCTTGTATCTTGATGGTTTATGTATATGTGTTATACATGTTAGTTATGCCCTGTTATATTTTGGTTGGTGGTGTTATACCTTGCGCTAAAAATTAGAGGTACCGTGACCTTCCAGCTAGCGCCTGGAGAACTAACTGAGCTGAGAATCTAAGGTACCACACCCTTCCAGCTAGCGCCTGGTAAACTGGTATGTTGTTGTGAGAGGTGTATCTTTGGCTTACTACGCACATAGCTGGTAGAGCAAAGTTTTGTTGTTGTTGTTCCATTGTATCTGAGGATATCATGAATTTGGTTGGTTACAGTCTCGGAGGGCCAAGTTACCTCATTGGTTGATTGTATACATGTTAGTGAGTTGTTATCTCCCTTTTTATAAAGGTATGCATGTATAGTTATGATTGTATTGGGAACGAACCAAAATGTCAATTTGTCATTTGGAAAATGGAAGAGGGTAATGGGCTTAGTGAGATTATTTCCTAAGTAATTGTTAATGTTATGAAGGATTGAAGTTAATGAAAGAAAAAGAAAGGATGGATCGCTTATAGCGTTGAATGACATGGCTGTTTTCGAGAAAGTTCATACCTATGTATATTTTGTATAAACTGTCACATTACTATTCTAGTATGAAATTGAGCATTCATGATCATAGCTATCTGTAAGTTGTTATTGTTGAGGGCCATGTTGAGATCCCTACTGGACTATATGTTCATCCCACGTTGTTGAATCTTTTTCAAGTGTTGAGCTGATTGTGCTGCAAGATTTGGATATTTTTATTTGTTGGCCATGGGGCCTCTCTTGTATTGGCGGAATGCCATATGTGTAAAAGGGTTGCACCCTTCTTCTTGATTCGTTAATGGTGTAAGCCCAAGGGCAATTTATTTATTATACTCATGTTGTACTTACTTGCATACGAATGAGAGCAATGTTATTCACTTCTACGAGTTGAACATACGAGTTTATTTCCGCATGTTATCTCTGAAATGGAATTAAGTAAATGAAATTGGTAATACTTTGAGTAATAAAAAGTGGGGCGTGATATACTTTAACTTTTTTTTTCTGTATTAGGATAAGAGATTGTTACATAAGTTCCATCACCTTGAATAGTTAAGTGGAAAATTGTTTTGATATCTTTCTCAGGAAAGTCTTGTTCGAGTGGCCGTTTGGTGTATTGGAGAATATGGTGAAATTATAGCGATCCCGGGTTTACCCTTGTTGTACAGTGATCCGGACATGTGTCCGTGGATGATAGTGGTTGATTATTACCTGGTGTACATCCTTTCTTACTTTGTATTTGAGTTATAGGATGTGTTGGGCAGATTTGTTACAGGTTGGTTGAGATTAGAAACCAAAACTAGTTGCCCAGATTTTGACCTGTCCGCTCGAGCGGGGGTTTTGGCGCTCGAGCGGGAGTTTCGCCCATCCAGTATTTCCTGTGCTGTGTTCGACGCTCGAGCGTGGGATTGGCCGCTCGAGCGGGTTTGTGTGAGTGCCGTTCAAGCGGGAAGTTGGAAGCTCGAGCGGGAGACCTGTCTGCAAAAGTTCTGGGAGTGTGTATCCGCCGCTCGAGCAGGATTGTTGACGCTCGAGCGGGAGTCTGTGAGTGACGCTCGAGCGGGGCGTTGGACGCTCGAGCGGGGCGACTGGGTTAAAGCTCCGTGTTTTGACTTTTCAAATCACTTTTTCCATTTCTCTTCTCTCTCTTACTTTTCCAAAAACCCCATTGTTGAGCTTCTCACTCTAGGACTCTACCTTCTCTCTAGGTATTGATCTAGTAGGAGTGATTTGCTCGTCTTTGGCCTTTACAAAAGAGTTGTTGATCGTTGAGGGCTACCTTTTGATCCAAAAAGTTTGTGGTTTGGAGCACTTCCGTTTTCTTCGTTTTCTCGGTTGGGAGTTATCTTTGGAGGTAGGGATAACCTACTCCTTACTATGGGTTTTGTCTTTAAATTTTAGTAGTTTGAGATGTTGGAGTTAGTTTGGTAATTTTGTGAAAGTTTGAGACTTTTGTGCAAATTTACAAAGTTGGGGTTTTAACTATATAAAAGCCTAGATGCATGTTTGGCATGGAAAAGTGGAATTAATGTTAAAACATTAATGAAAATGGAACCTAAGGGTTGAAATGTTAATTATGGAAAATGCCCTAATTACATT